CAATATCAAAAGACATTACATTGGTTATTTTAATTTTATATTTCATGCACAATGTTTTTTTTTTTCGGTGTGCGATGCACTGCACACCAAAACAAATACAATACACATTAAAAACAACAAAACATACAACATTTTTCATATACAGTACAGATGCGCGCTCGTATTTCTATATATTTTGCATTGCTCTTTTTGGGTTGGTAATATGTATATATATATAAAAAAAAATTATATATATATAAAATAAACTTTTACGATCTAAATTATATTATAAATGGATGCATACCACACACTCTTTCTTCGTTGCTCTTTGCAACGAACATTGGGGCTCCTTCATCACACATCATACATATACACAGTACACACATATACAAGCACATTAGAGACATCAAACATTAACGTAAGCAAAAAAAAAAACAACAAATTCTCTAGAAATGGTAGAGTGGTGAAATAAAAACTGCGAAAAAAAATTGAGTTGAAAAAAAAAACAGCACATAAACACAGATCAAAAATACAAACCAACTGAACTGAGAGTGTTGAACAAACAAAAACAACCAGAATATAATAACAACAATAATAATAACAAAGATTTTGAACGAAACAAATGAAATAAAAATAAAGTCGATGTATACCGATGCGACTTTATTATCGCTTAAGTATAGAATTTTAATTTTCAAACATGGAATAGTATAGCCGATGTTGGCCTGAGTCTGGATCTTTTGTTGGATGTTCCACGTACAAGTGTGTGGAGCGGATGAGAGAGCTATATATTTTTGTGGAGACGTGGAGCACGGAGAATTTACGTAAAATGGTGAGATTGATGCATGATTGTTCGAATTGGTTGCAAATTATATTTTAACAAGGCACCACACAAGCATGCACAATCTTATATACCATGAACGACCATATAAAATAAAACAATTAAAATACAGTGGTGGAAAAGAGCAACAGCAACAACAACAACAAAAGTACGAGGCGATTTTATGTTTACAAAGGAATAACAAAGGCGCAAATTGCACATTGCTCATTCGACGATTGCTGGACAGTCATATTCTTTTTCTTTTCTTTTCTTTTCTTATATTAGATGGTGTTATTACTTATTATTGTTAGTTTGTAATGGATTCGGAAATCTAGCCGGAGAATATCTGTATGAATTAATGCAATAGATTTGAGTTTTGTTTTGTTTTTGGTCGGCCGCTGCATTCGAATGTATTTGTGTAAAACGTTGACTGCCGTCATTTTTTTTTTGTTCATCTCAGAAAAAAAATACGCGTGTACATTTAAACAGCAAATAGTGAATAGCAATAACAAATTGCGCCTATTTGTATTTCATCGTTTCCACTTCCCATTGCATATTATTCATATGGGCTGCGCTTATTTTTTCAAGTGTTGAATGCAAATCGACATATTCGACGACGACGATGACGACGACGGTAACCTCAATCAGAATAATAAATAATTAGCGAACAGAGTAGCCATTATGAATTTTTATATGCTATTTTATATTTCTGTTTTTTTCTGTTTCTTTCTTCTAACCATTGTAAGCATTAATTCAATTGTAAACGAGGAGAAAACCGGTGACATCAACGCGACACAATCTCAATCCAAGACTATATTATACAAATTTTTGCATGTGTGGAACTATATCTTTGAAAATAAAATTATTCCATTTAAGCCCTTAGTTATTGGGCTCAGCAAGGCACAGCTCAATGAGGCAATTCCACATATTTTTATGATTATTGAAACAAATTTTTATGATGACATTTATTAGCGAAGATATTCTTCAATGGCACACTACACAATACAATAGCAACGAATTCACGATTACGCATCATTCACACTCACACACACGGAATTCGGATGAAGTAACTACAGAGTACAATTATTACTTTTCTTTCGTTGTTATTGACGATGTTGTTTCTTTTTTCTATTTTTCTTTCTTTCTCTTTTTACGTTTGTGTACCTAAGCCGAATGCTTGTGAACGAATAGAACATGCCGAGACACACAAAAAGTCCTGCCAAAGAATCCAACAAAATAAAGAGAGATAGAAAGGACAAAGAGATTGTAATTCAAACATAGAACAAGGACTACTCAATATATTTTATCCGATTTCCACTTAATTATTGTCATTCATTGCGATGTAATGTTTATTTGTCAACTTTCGAAAAGAGATCAGGCAAGCAATTTTAATTAGCATTAAATTTATGCAGACATCAAACAAACAAATCCTTTGTCAACTTGATACATTACTGAAATGGACAATGAATGAAGACAAGATGAAAAAAGAACACATACAGTATAAATACCATAAAATAAAATCAAATAAAAAAACCTCTGTTGAGGTAAAGAATGAGTGACGAAATCAAAATTTGAAACACACAAGTTTCTGAAATTAGTTGGTAGATACATTTTCCGTGTTTCAGTGTAAAAATACTTAATATATATTCGCACATTCAGAACATGATAGAAATTCTTCCCGTTTACTAACCAAATAAAGCCACATGGACAAATGAATATTAAGTATTTATTCACAACACACGAAGAAATTATTTACCAAGTATTTTTTTACCATCACAAAATTGATATCAGAAATGTTGTGTTTTGATACTCATTCTTCATCTCAACAGAGGTTTTTTTATTTGATATGCAGTTTTATTTTGACACATTTCTTGAGGTCAGGCATAAATTTAAACAATTTCGAAATAGTATGAAAATATGGACTTTTGGACTATTTTTTCTTGGCTCCAAATGCCATGATTTATGATTCTTGAATTAAAAGTCTTAATTGAAAAAAGCCAATTTTTCAGGGGTGTGGCATGTGCCTTTTATAGTTTTGAATTGGCAAAAAGAATCATTCGTGCCGTTTTCGCGAGAAATTTGCGGCCTTGTGAGATGCCATATTTTTATTTTTTGCCAGTTGGCCACTCAAACTTGAAGTTTTTAAGTTGAAATAGGCACCATTCAATAGTTTGCATTAAGAATTTTCCAATGATATGCATATGTCCTAGACTGCGCGCCACAGTAACCGTATGAAAAATAGGTATTTTCGGGTGTCATGTTCATTAAGACCATCTTGAAAACAAGAATTTTCCCAGATTTGAGCTATGCGGCTTATTGAAGCTTGGACTTGGTCCAAACATCGGTAAAATTTTCAAAGAAATCAATTTTTTTTGGGTTTTGGAAATTTTGCGCCAAAACAAAAAAGTCTTAGATTAGTACTTAGATTGGAAAAAAGATCAGAATAAAGTACGCAAAATCGTGAACTTTCAAAGATATTCCATATTAAAATCTTTAATTTCGTGTATATACAGTCGACTTTGACACAACACTAAGGTGGTTTCGTCACTCGCGCGAACTGCCATCCGCTGTGTTAATACACAAGCGAATATGTAAATTCAGAAGATCTGTTATTCAATTCAAGTGGACGAATGCAATGCGAAGTGCATGCTGTACCAATTCATTTTGTTATACAGTTTTTCAGCATGAAGTTTTTGCGTGAATGCGCGATGTTTTGTTCAGTTTCATATGTTTTCCGGTTTGTTCAGCAATATGATGCGCATCGAAGTGAAATAAGTTTTCAACACACTCATTTATACAATCAAATGCATTTTTGTTATAAACCTTTATTTTGAATGAATTTTGCTTGATTTATCTAGGCAACGAACACAAAACACGAAAAAACCAACAACTGAAGAATAATTAAACTTTTTAGTGCTCTGTAAGAGTTTCCAACATTCTTCTATCCATTTTAATTAAAATGATTCATTGTGAAGGCATTGCTATCCTAGAAAACAATTATTTTTTTCTTTGTCCGCTCTTTAATCGTTGCACCCGTTCAAGGACAAAGAACCGTTTAATTGATTAAAAAAACATGTAGTTTGACAAGAATAAAAGATTATATAATTAAACGCAAAAATGGTGTATGTGTATTTGTTTTCCTTCAAGTATGGCCATTTGATCAAAGAGGAAAATAAGTTTGAGAAAGCATGTCAAAAAATGTAACGGTAAATGAGAAGAAAATTTAGTATGTTTGTTTCAAGTTGTTGCCAATTTTAAAATAACTTTTCAAGTCGACTTTCGCTATGCGAATTTATCCTCATCGAAAATCAGTTCGATCAAACAACTATGTAATCCACAATAGTCCGGATGTGATGATGCATCTTTGAAATAAAACCTCCCCTAGATTCCAAATGTTGATTGTGTTGAAATTTTCACAATCACAAAATGAAATGAAAACCAGTTATTTTACTTCGCTATTCGATGTGCGCACTTCGAATTAATTTTAGACTTGTGCTTGTTGATTTTGTTCAATGTTTATGCAAATCAGAATACCGATATTGTGTATTGTATTTTCTTTATGATGACGGTCGAAAGAGAGTAGCATTCATAAAAAATGATAAATCCAATCTGATCGAGACGGTAAATGTGTACGCTTTTTTTCTATCACCAAGTTGGTATATACGGTCATCTTTGTGTTTCCTCCCCGCCCCACATCGATATCAGTCAATTTTGCATTGTCTATGTACTGGAAATTTAATTAAAATTTATACGAGTTTTCGTAATGTTTTAGTATGAAAGTTTTGAAATTGGTTTCGAAGCGAAAACTTTTCATACGCTCTCCGACTCTTTCTACACGTATGTATATGTACATGCTCATTGGTCGATTGTAAAAGCAAACGGTATAAGCTTAAGGTAACCGATGTATTATCAATCTTGAAGCTCTTAAGTCTGCTTTACAATGCAATAAGCCTTTGAAATTGTACAATAGCAAAACTATGGCGTAGGATGAAATTGGTCATTTCAGAAATAGAATAAAAGCTTTGTAAAAATACATACAGAGTGAGGGAGAGAGAAAGAAAGACGCGTGCGCGAGCGCGGGCATATGATATTGATCATTGAATCAGATGCTATTATACTTGACTCTTTTTGGCACAAAAACCATTTTTCTACTTCGCTAAAGATTTAAAGACAATAAGAAAGTAATAAAAAAGTGTCTACTTACATTATTATTATTGTTTAACATTGAAAAAAAAAAGAAATATGATGGATATTCCCCTAATTGTTCGGCTACGTTGACATTTGATCACAGCGATTTCGCAATTTTTTCGCATACTGCAAGTTGTGAGCAGCACCATTATACAGATAATCTAGCTTTCCAAATGTTAGTGACGATGGCAAACGTGGCGGTGGGGACTTTGATCGGCAACGACGATCCGAAATGAAATCAAACTGATTTGACATGATTAACGGTGACGGACTGGAACCGATGTATGTGGGTGCATCGTTCGATATCATTCGCATATAGCTGTCGAAGAGCAATTTATGATATGCTGATCGATGGACCGTATTTCGGGCTGTCATCGTAGATAATAATAAATGTGAAGAAGAAAAAAAGCAAAGCAAATAAACAAACAAGAAAAAAGATTAGAAAAAAATGTAAAAACAAGACATTCAGAAAATAAAATTGTCAACATTAAGTATAAATGTTATACTATAAAATGTGTGTTCGTGCGCGTTGTTGTTTAAATGCAAGTTATTCTCTCGATTCGAAATGTTTACATGTTTGTTGTGTACGCATTTTGAATATCCATATATATCATCACTAAATGTAATGAATATGGCAACAAAAACAATCAAATTGGTGTGATTTGTATACATCGGCCGCTTCATATATAATAATACGATGATGAGCATTTAGAATTATGTATTCTCGACGACCTGGTCAACTTTATAAGTTTGGCTTCTATAAGCTGCTTACGTAAATGAATAGTAAATGTGCATAATCACTTTCTAAAATTATACAGGCATTATCGACGACTTTAGACACGTTTTAAGTGAATCTTATCGATGCTATTTAATACATTTCGAATGATTTTGAATCATAATAACATTAATAGATCATCAGGTCAACGCATAAATTCATTTCAAATATATTTGGTGTGTGTGTGTGTATCAGTTATTTATAATAATCAATAACACAGACACACTCATACCACATAAGCTCAAATAACGTCTAACCGTGATTATTTCAAGACGGGAACAAAATATTTAAATAGAATTTTACTTGTTGACACATCATAATTGTGAATGCCATTTGCAACAGAGAGCACGAGAGAACAAGACGAAAAGGGATAGAGAGAGCCTATTGAAGTAACAAAACATTAAACATTAAGTATTCACTATAATTACCGACATGTAATTTCAATGGATTTAATGTATACATTAGAAACTGTGCACTGTATAATTTCAGAAAATTCCATTTTCTTTTTATTTACGTAGATGTTGTATGTTTAAAATAAGATCTTTCTCGTTATCATGCTGCATCGTCTAATCGCTGCAATTTGGCTGAATTGTTGCAAATATATTTCAATGGGCTGTCACCGCTCTGTGATGACATCTTCGATACACGCACGATGGATAAACTTGCACTCGATCCAACGTTGATAAAATTGGTTGGCCAATTTAATTATTAACATAGCATGATCAGAATTTCCAATAAAATATAATATGCACAATCAACGGACACACCTACATTACATTTTATTCTCTATTAATATGCTTAGAAAAGAATCTTAAAGTACACTTTCTATATCTTAAATCTATAGAGAAAAAAATGAAGTAAACGAAAAAAAAATATTGACAAGCAATTTGATGGTGACGTATAAAATACAAGTTTATGATTGGATCATTCAAAATGATTTGTACGTGCACGTTAAGTTTTGTTGTTTGAGAAGAAGAAAAAAGGGCATACACACTCACAAAAACAACAACAACAACAACCCGGTACTTGAATTTACAAATCGCAATTGCATCTAAAATACATTGAAGGGTTTTGCGCGCAAGGGTGCTAATTCAAGTGGAACGGCACAATTCAGTAACTTAAAATACAATTGGGAACCTCATGAGCATATTAAATATACACAAATATTATTGAATATTTGCCAAGCGTTCGACATTTTACCGAGTGAGAAAATTGTGTGTGTGAGTTAGTGAATGTGTTGGTGTTGATGGTGGAAAGGCAATCATATTCACAAGGTTCCTTTTATGATTCATAAAAGTTTTAAGCGCGCGAGCGTTTGCGAGCACGATACACATTTCAAGCGTTTGATTCATTCCCGTTCGTATGAATAGTTTTTCTTGCAATTTGTGGAAGTTCATGCTGCTAGTTTCTTTTTACTGATTGTGTGCTGTCTTTTTCTCTTTTACATTTTTCTCTTTCGTTTGCCATTGCTTTCTCTTTCAATCCAGCGCTTTTCTTCGGTGCAAGTACGACAAAAACCGAAGAAAAAAAATGAGCGAATTGAACGAAAAAGAAGAGAAAAAAAACAACGACTCTAAGAAAATTTGTGCGTTTGTATGTTTTATATTCTTTTCACTCGTTCGATGCAATTTATTTGCAGCATTTTTTTATGTATATCGCACTGAAGTGAAACGCGAAGACGCTATAAAATGATGCATATAGCAGAAATTTTATAACAAGGTCGTAAAAAAGCACATTTTCAGCGATGACGACCAGTTAACGCAGCAAAAAAAATTAAATAAAATAAGTACAGTTTGTACGTGTGGATGTGTATGTTGTGTATGTGTTTATGCAAGCGCAATACAGAGTTTTATGTGTTGTGCAGAAGCTTGCACCTAAGTACTTGCAAAATGCATTCATTTGCAAAGGCGCGCACATCTAAATACAGTTACGAAAAATCAAAGAAACAAGCGAACGAATGGAGGAGATCGAGTGAAAGAGCGGTACAAAGAATGAGAAAATTCGTCGCGGCGCGCACATTTTCTACTTTTTGTTGTTATTGTTTTTATTCCCTCGCCTTCGTCTCCTCACATTTTTATTGTCATCATAGTTGCTTGGCATGTGTTTTAGTGTTACAGTATTTTTTTTTTACATAATAAAAGTGTACATACATGCATATAATTGTAAATGTGCAAACGCTACGTCCAAAATACATAAAATGTGTCGTATGTATCGCTCTATATGTTATTTCACATTAATTTTGAATGAAACGAATTTTCTGTTTCTTTGGTGAAAAAACAACAATTTTTTCCTTGGGTCGCGCAAATCAGAAGAAATTTTATGCTGCACATCATCTCTATAGTGGGAACTATCGTTCAAAATATTCCATTTTTAAAATTACTTAAAATAGATTTGCCAATTGGCTTATTTGTTTGAGATATAATTGAGTCATTCACTTGAAATATTCGGGAACTTCGTCCAAACTTTCAATATGATTTCATCTACAACCTATTTTTCAATCATCGGTTGCCGTTGATTGCACGATCAATCCGTTGTTGCCATAAAAAATGAACTGATCTATTGAAACTGATCACACATATGCTAACTTAATTTACTTATTGAATGGCCGAAATTATATTTTTTTCTACAAATTTTGTCAAACAGTATAAAGCTTAAATCCAAACAAACAATAAATTTACAAAAAAAAAAATCTGTCCAAAAACTGAATGAAACGCATTTGCTCGTTTCTTAAATTGGCCATTTTTTTGTCAAACAACAATTTACGCTAAATGATGACTTAAATATTAACGCGGTAAAAATTGCATCCAACATGTGTGTGTATGTGTTTGTTGACATTTTTATGTTGTAAATCATGTTATACGCAAACATCAGTGACCGGTTCGCACATATTTCTATGCTTGCCTAAATACGCTAGGTAGCATAGATATGCCAAGCATAGCCGCAAACGCAACCGACGCATCGCCGTTCACTCTATATGAACAATACACATGTTCGTTTATGCAGACGACCGTGCGCATACAATATAGCTCGAATCGAATGGTGACGGGTGCGTTGCGGCTTGCGTCTCCGCTATGCTTAGCATAGCTATCAGGCATAGAAATATGTGCGAACCGGTCACTGGCAAACATATATCGAAATAGATAAAGAGAGAAAGCGAGAAAAAGTGATGTGAGTAACATGTTCTTATCTGTTATCCCTAATCGTTGGCCATAATTTTATTATATTATATCTTTATGGGCAAACACATTTACCGATTTATGTATGTGTCTAACAATGGCTTTCTTTCCATTGTGATGAGAGAATTGAAATGGTTCATAAAAGAAGATGAGTTCAGTTGATTGAAGTACATAGTGGCGCGATTGATGTTTTGTTGCATTGTTGATCGTTGCTGTGTTGTTTGATATAGTGAAGCTAAAATTTTATTTGATAATGAATCCCTGTGAATCTGGTCGGCGAAATTGCTACTGGTATGTCTGGTTTGGACATTATTTGTTTCGTTTATTTTTTATTTTCTTCTTCTTTTTTTGGTTTTTGTCTTTTGATCGGTGATTTGGGTTGACTGATGTTTTTATATATGATAAACTCATATTTAAATTGAATTGATGCATATTCAACCAAATGACAATCCATTTGGCGACTCGTTTTCATTAATTTCTTCAAACAAAGAAATGCATAATTTCTTTGCGAAATGTTCTTTGTCTTATTCGATAAATATTTGTTAAATTCGCAATAAAAAAAAATCCAAAATACTAATTGGAATCACAAAAGTATACATTAAAAGAAAATCTCTTAATTTCTAAAAAAAAACCAGAGACAAAAAGAGAAATAAACAAATGACAAATATTGTCATTCGATTTAAATATTCATTTTTGTTTGTGATGAAATTACGATGTACAATCCAAAATGTGAAAGTTCAAAGATCATTTGCAGTAAAGCCTCGGTAAAATAAATAAAATGAAAAACACACAAATTCAGTAGATGTTTTTTGTGTGTAAAATACTGCACAATTTCAGGAATACTGAACACCATTTTTGAAATACTGTTGATGAAAATAACACTCTCAAATTAAGTGAAATTTTCAAATTAGGAACTATACAAATTTCGCTTTGTGAAAGAAAGCTCTGCAAATGAAGATGAACTTCAACAGTAAGATTGTTTTATTCATTAAAATTTCTATTTAGTTTTGTGCATGGAATTTATAATTTTATACTGTTCTTTTTTTTAAATCTTAATGCTTATCGCAGCTATATTTAAATGTGTGGGTATGTGTTGCATTGCTACAGCTGCTATTTAAAAAATTTGTTAGGGGTTTTGTAAAATTCATCAAAATAATACTGCGAAACAAAGTTCAAATGAACACAAATTTTGGCAAGAGTTTTAATATTTCCCTTCTTCAACTATTCTTGTTTTTATTCAAATTTCGTAACGAAACGACAAATAGTTTTAGTTGCGCATAATCGCGAATTTATTACGGCAATTGTTATTTTGTCTTTGAATTTTCGTGTTTTGTTTTTTTTTTCATTATGAAATGTTTACGTGATGCATTTTCTCTATGAAAATTATCATCCGCATTGCCGAGTGGAGCCTCTTTCGGCTCCGTCGAAAAAATTTAAATTATGCATTCTTGAATATTTGCCAATAAAATCTTGCCCTAGACAAAAAATCGATGAAGAAAGAAAAAAAAGAGAAATATTTGAAAATGCTAGTTTGATTTCGTAAATAATTGTGTAAATTATGAGGAAAAATGAAATAAAAAAAAACAATCGTTTTTGAAATCACGACGTAAATATGATCAACATTGACCAAAATGATATTCGATGGAAATTTTGCTTTGTTCTGTTAAACAATTTTAATACATTGTTATTTAAAGAGGAAACATGTGTATTTTAATGGCGTATGTTCAAATTTACATAATGCGTGTGTGCTTACCTTCGCTAAGTTGATTTGTTGCCTCTTCGAGATCACCGTTCGCATATTTTAGGATTACATAGAGTAATGGCATCATTTCCCATGGATAGTTAAATCTTTCGATCATTTTTTGACTTTTTTCTAACAGCATATCCGCATTATCGACTATTAACGAAAGAAAGAAAAAGAAAAAAATTCAGATAAGTTACAATTTGGTTTGTCAAAAAAGAAATAGTGATCAATTAATTCGAAAGTATAAGAGCGGCAACCATTTTTTTCTTGTTTTAAAATATATTGAATGAAGCAATTTCGTATAAATCATCGTTATGTTATAGATTCGGTAGACGGGCACGAAGCAAAGCCGATCAATTGAGAGATAATGTTTCAACCAATCCCAAAATGTGTGCGTTGAAATCTCAACAACAAAATACATTCGTTTGGGAACAATTGCTGTGAAAATACAGAAGAAAACAAACAAACAAATAAACAAAAATTGAACTAACTGAGAGACAAAAAATACGCGATGAAGTAACAAAAAGCTATTTATCAAAAACTGTTAAAACGGCCTTGTGTCTAAAAGGCGGAGTTAAAATCCATTGGTTGCTACATTATCCCTACCTTTCACACAATTTTTCGAAGAATCATAAAATCGTAGAATACGGCTTGCGTATGCTGGCATTATTACTGTTGCTGGCGATAGCGTTCACGCTGTGGTGCTGTATGTTGTGCCGTATACCGTTTGTTTCACACACACGTTGTGCATGCACTGGCACATATCGTACAGCATTTCTATGTACTACACACTCTGCGGGAGCTCTCTTTTACTCTCTGTCTCTCCCTATCTCTGTTTTGTACCAATAATTTAACAACACATTTTGCATGAAGAGCAACAGGACTGGTTGCAACAACAGAACAACAGCAACAGCAGGTATCTTGATTCTATCTTGCAATTACTTTACATAGGATACATAGGAATCGAAATGTATGAGAATCAAATAGATAAACCGAAGAGCATGTGCTATTTTGACCAATTTATTTATGTACATTGATGACAGATTAAGACAAACAAACTGAATAATCTGTTACGTGTATGATCACATGTTTGGCTATATATTTTACTGATTCTCATTATTGTGACAATCGACATACAATTATCGTACAATGAATAAAGAGAAAAGAATATGCGGTGACTAATAGATATCATTTAAGTGAATAACAAAATGAAATCGAAATAATAATAAAAAAAATGGCCAACGAAAAGTTGTCGCATTGTAAAGAAGATTCGTATAAAATGCGATGCGAACGTTGTTACTGAGAACAACAGCAACGGTGTCGGTATGGGTAAGAAACGTTAAAAAAAGCTGATTAAGTGGAACAGAACAACGCTTATCGAGTTGATATAGTGCCGGGCTCATACAATTATAAGATGTCTACTGCATCGCCAGAGAATGGTGCAGTGAGAAGAAAGCGTGAGGAATTGCATGACGAAATGGAGGATAGAATCAGAAGCGATGCATGTGTATATTTTTGGAATACATTGCGCTCATTTATCAGTGTTGCATTAACACAGTCCCATTTTATAGAATATTTCGCATAAGAGTAGCATTACACAGCCTGTGCAAAATGTGAGCGAGCGCACGGGCGAGAGAGCGATAGCATGAGCGACAACAGGCAAACGAATGAGCCCGGGCGGTATATGCCACACTACCGTAATACTATTAAGATCAATGCAAGCATGTTTGGCATCTTGAAACTTCCGCGTTTCACCAATACTTGAGCGCATACATTTTGAGGCTATGATTCGCAATCGATGCTTTAAAGTGGATTTATTTCTGCCTTGGAATGTCTCTATTATGTGCTTGAAAATGCCAACCCAAAGTACCAACCTTATATGTGTTATGTTATGCTATGCTATATTATCCCACGATAAAGAGAGAATGCGCTTTAATGTTTACATAAAACTGAAATGCACCATCGATATAAATACATAGAAGAACCAGTGGTGCATCATTGCAAACGTTGGCGATGTTGCGCGCGCTATTATTTTCTTCTTCTTCTTCTTTTTCGGCATTCATTTCATCCAGTGAATCTGACACATATATTTCCTTTTTTTCTTCTTCTTCTTCTTTCGTTTGTTTCATTCTGTTCAATTTTGTTCGGTTTGTTTCCTTTTTGGCCAAGTTGTGTGTGTGTTTGTGTTATATTTATTTTTTTTTTATTGAGAAAATGTAGTGGCGATAATGCAGCAGGTAAAAGCTTGTTTGCCTCGGCAATTACATAGGGAGAATAGTATACATGCACAATTTCATGCATACCAAAAACGAAAAGCGGATCCGTTTCTATTTTTGCACACAGAATGGGGATGAGCTGTGCAAATGCCACTACCATTGGAATGCGTGACTACAGTGTTTATATTGTTTTACTTTTATGTGAATCCTTTTTTTATTCCAGTTTTTGGGGGGGGCCTTGCATAAGCCAATCTTTTTAATGTCTTGCACCAATCAAATAATACCATTTTTCCAACTCCTCGTTCTTGTTTTTCGTCAACGAATTGCCAACGAGCTCAACATTCACATTTGTTCACTGTGAATATTTGGCGTATAATATTTTGAGCGCCAAAAGGAAAAAGTATATATAATATATAATTTATTCCAAAAACAAATTTTAAACTATGCACAGAGAATGAGATATGCGGATATTGAAATTTAGCTCCTACCAAAAATGTAAAACAATCACAATGATTCAGTCACAGTCACGGTGGGGGTAAGTATTTAATGTTAATTTACAATGATATTCAAATTGATGATTCATAAAAAAGCGCTTTTATACTAGAAACTGATTCACTTCGTCCGTTGAGCAAGAGCGAACAGTATAGCCGGATAGTAATGTCACACACTCACTCAATGTGTCTATTTGATACAATGAAGGGTCAATTGATCAATCGATGTTTTTCAAACATGATATCACAGTCTCTTAATTGAAATGCGTGCATACAATTCAATGACGCGCCACTTGAAAATCGAAATGTTTTATGAGTGTTGTCGTTTCTATGGCATCCAAGTCGTTTGATGTTTTTGGTTTATGTTCGATTTTATGTTCATGCGTTTATTGTTACAAATCAATGTCAATGGAATGCACATTTGAATGATTTTTCGCGAAGATGAAGTTAATTGTCCGAGTGGATGTGTCCGATGCGGGCACACGAATGTTGTTATCGAAATGAATGTATACAACGATTAATCGGAATCCATTTGAAAATGAGATGAGATGAGATGAATTTGCAAAGTGTTTTGAGTAAAATTGTGTCGGCATTGGTTTGGCAATGGCAAATAACACGAGCTGCACTCTCGAACGAGATATTCCAACGATCCATTTTCGTAAATACGAAAAGGATAAGCATATGTTTCATGTGGCATTCAATGCCAAATGCCAGCAACATATTGCAAAATATGAAGAATGAAATATGCAATCAACACACAGCATACAACAAAATATGACAACAACCATGCTATTCAATGATTGGTTACATATAATATCTTGAAGGCATTAATTTATAGATTCTTTCAATAGTACTAATTTTCTTCGGCACTTGTTTTGTCGTTTCGTTCATTTTTTTCGAGTTTCGTCTTCTTTATGTTGTTTGCCTAGGAACTCTTCAGTTTGAGAACTTTTGTAGCAGTTGCAAACTGATCTAATATATTATAATTAGATTGGTGCGGGTCATTCTTTCATTGCACCGTCTGTTTTATTATCGATATGATCGAAAATTGGCTTTGAAAATTAAATTCATGGTCGGTGCCGGACGAACTCCATTATAATCAACACTGATTTAATTGACCTTAATTACACCGTAATTAATTGTCTTATTGGAAATCAATTTCTTGGCAGCACAGAAAACATAAGGTAGCTGCAATCGCATAATTGCAATTGTCTTTTGGCAATCATTAATAACCCTTGTGAAAAAAAAATGACTGACTGACTATAAATTAAGTTAATTTTAATCACTTTTATTCGGTTGAAATTACCAATAGATGATTGAAATCGAATATAGTCGGTTATGTTTCATAGTTAACTAAAAGTGATTATAGTCAACATAGTTGACAAAAGTCAATTTCATATACTTGTAGTTAACCGTAGTTAACTATGATCACAACCCACATTTCGCAACTCAAGTTACATGAAGACGCATATAGTCACTTATAGTTAACTTTAGCTGGCTGAAATATCAGCCATTTTTGTCCCAAATTAGTCAATTTATAGTCACCTATGAAGTCGAAATATTTTTACAAGGGAATTAACTTGAAAAATCAAATAGCACACAATTTTACAAAATGTCTCGAACCATGATCACATCATCATAGCACAAACTATATACGTTGATTTTTAGTGAACATTTACGATTGATAATTTGAACAATTTTTTCGTTTTTTTTCCTTTCTTGTGAACAATTTTAATTCAGATTCGTTCTCATTTCAGCAAATCCTTGTGACCAAATCCTTTGTTGTTAATCGTAAAATTGGTACAATTTTCGTTTGTAAATGCAAAAACATATAGATTGCTTGCAGCAAAAATTAAAAGATTCTACCACATGAAAATCTGTTCATCTGTTTAAACTTTTGAAATAAGATTAGATCAAAGGAATACGGCCAACGTTTTTATTTAGAAAACTTCAATTTATGTGTTTTTATATTCTGTGTGCATAAATTGATGTAAATAATGATGTGTTTGTTGTAAATGTATTTATATATAAATTGCATAAATCGCGAGACTTGATCATATTCAACACTTTTGTACGATACACCGATATGTAAAACAAAAGGAGCGCCATACATATGACCAATGCAAAAAGAAAAGAAAAAACACCACCATTGAAGAAAAACTGCACGCTAAACGAATTCTTCAAAAATAAAATCTGTCGTTCTGCGTGTGTTTCAAAGGATGTGCATTTTCTCTTTTGAAACGGAGCAGGAAGAGCGACAAAAAAATCTGAAATAAAATAAAATTACAATAAGTGGTGTAGTGAAGAGCTCAAAGAAACCAGAAAAATGTTGACTGAAGGAGAACGAGATGACAACGAATAGAAAGAAAATAAAATGTTGCCATAAAATGTTTTATAGCATTCATTCATTCATTGTCTACTTAACTGAACTAATTTTTAGAAACGA